GAACGGCTGCTGCATTCACACAAGGCCCAGGAATCGAGGTGGAGCAACAAAATACCTTTCTGGCTGGGCTTCTGGCAGTGCTAAGCGAGCTGATTAAATCCAACAGGCCTTCAATACAAAAATTAAGAAAAACTTGTTGTTGATAAACTGTACAATGACTTGTTGGGAGGCATGTGGTGCAGTGGTCTGATGCGTTGGTGTTCGGATCAGGGGAGCACAGGTTCAAACCCCACTGCAGTCAGGATGTCGTTGTGTCCCTGGGCAAGACACTTCACCCCAAATTGCCTACACCTGGGACAGTTAATTTAGTATTATTGTGATTATATATATGCCACTGTTATTAATACTGACACCTAACTTTGCACTAAGGTGTGTCTGCTGCTGAGCCTACCTATTGTTATTATATATATATATATATATATATATATATATATTGCCAGTTATTATATTGTTTTGATACTGACACTTATTGATCTGCTGCTGATAAATAAAAGAGAACCTACATGCACAGCACTAGCATCATGACTGTCTTTGTTTAAACCAGCAGCAGTGCAGCGGTACACAGACTAACCTGTGTGTGTGTAACGTAGTTCTTCAGGTGTGCATGCTTAACATGTATGTTAACATGTATGTCAGGGTTCCTGCAGGTTTCGCCAACTCAAATTTAAGACTTTTTAAGACCTTTTTAAGACCACTTCGAATAGAATTTAAGACCTATTTCACGGCAAGAAAGTATGAAGGAAAATTGCTATGAAAGAAGAAATACGTCCCATAATTACTTACAAATCAAATGTATTCATGTTCAACATAAGAACAATGACTGAACATAACAGCATAACAGTACAGAACTGTGTTAGCCAAAAAGTGTGTATGTGTCTCTGTGTGTGCTTGTGTGTGTGTTAGGGCTGTGCAATTAATCGTATTTTAATCGCAATTACGATTTTGGCCTGCCACAATTACAAAAACATAATCGAAAAAACCTATTATTTAGCTTTGCTAGGTTGTGACAGTGCACTACAACATATTTGATCTAATTAATTTTAGTCTAATTTATTTTTATTTATCATATTTATATATGTTTAGTAGCTTGTGGAAGTGCGCTCCAAAATATTTGTTGATCTTGTTTATTGGTATTTATTATTTTGATATTATTTATTTAAATATATCATTTATTTAATTTATTTTTGTATTGGTTTTTCAGTTGAATTATACGTTCAGGGTAATCAACAGTTAAAAAGATACTGTTCAAATTATTATTTGTTTTGAAGTTCAATAAATGGATGTTTTCAAAGTCAATGAATAATCTTATTTAATAATCGTGATATCAATTATTGACCTAAATAATCGTGATTATGATTTTTGCCATAATCGAGCAGCCCTAGTGTGTGTGTGTGTGTGTGTGTGTGTGTGTGTGTGTGTGTGTGTGTGTGTGAGAGAGAGAGAGTAACAAGAGCTATATTCAGAGCTCTGCTGCCTTGGCTACAATCTTTCATCGTTGCTGTTGTATGATTGGTGTTTAACTACGGTATTTAGCGTATACACTACAGCACCTCCGCTTTTAGGGTTGACGTCGAAGACCCAAACGTCGCCCGGAGGTCCAACGGTGTTGTTGCGGGAGCTGCTGCACTAGCTAACGCTGCACTAGCTAACGCTACATTAGCCAAACAAACGCTAATTTATTTTGCAAAAGGTGCAGCAGGCTTCAAACACGTTCCCCTCCACTGGTTTCAACCAAGCACTAAATTCGATGTTTTCCAACCAAATACGGTTGAACTTACACTTCCCCATATTTATTTGTAAGTAGATTCGAAGAGACATGAGTTTCTGACTGCCGCTTGCTGAAGCTTGGTTGCTAGGTTACTAGCTGGGTGTTCTCCGTTAAGGGGCCGGGGGAAACAGAGTTAGTGATTACTGGTTCCATGTTGATTTATTTCAATACAAATTGTTGGGGGGAACTGAAAGGCTATTACCGTTACTTTGCAGCCCGGACATTTCCCCCAAAACACATTTTAGACGCGATCACAACACAGAAGTACCTTTCAAATCCCATCATTTTTAAGACCTTCTAAATCATATTTAAGACCTTTCTTATTTTTTTGGTCATATTTAAGACCTTTTTAAGGCCTTACATTCAGATTATCAAATTTAAGACTTTTTAAGACTTTTTAAGACCCCGCGGGAACCCTGGTATGTATACAAAAGTTTTTAAAGAGCTTTCAACCTCATCCCATTGTCTTTAACACACATTTAACATAATATACTCATTAATATACAAATATACAGTATGAGTACTGTTTTGATACTGACATTTAATCTTTGCACTAAGGTGTGTCTGCACTATTGTAATTGTGTCTGTTGACTGGTAAATAAAAGAGAGAACCAAATGCACTGTACAAAAGATCAGCTTTATTGTCAATTTACAATTTCCATGCTGTTCAGATGCCTCTCCACAACGTTGCTTCCAGGCGAATACAGAGGAGTTGAAAAGAGCCCTTGGACATTCGGAAATCTTCGATCCACTGCACACGTTGGCACCACCTCCCACCAGGCCGACGTTCTATTGTTCACCCAGAGTTCCGTAGTATTCGCATATCTGGAACACATACAAAGACACAAATTAGCCCTACATAACTCCATAAATCCTACATTAGATAGTATTAATGTGATTTAATGAACGTACCATTGCTGTTCTTTGGGCGTGATAACGGCCATCATCCTCGGCTGTCCAACGGCGAAACATGTCCATAGCGTGTGCTTTCGTCGTCCAATCCTTTTGTTAAGGCTTCCTTAACCGCCTTCGCCTCCGACTGAGCATTTCTATTGCATTTGAATGGTCGATCTGTATTTGTATTTGTGGCTGAGTTATTGGCTTAAATAACTCCGTTACGAAGCTGTATAACACGACCACCAAAACGTCAACTCCATACCGTGTCTGAGGTCGGAAGGTAAACAGAAGCATCCAGCGGAAGCGGAAGTTTTTTTTCTTCTTCTCTCGGTTTTTTTGGCGAATTGCAACTTTAAGGTGCATACCACCACCTACTGTACTCGCCGTGAAGTTGTTTGCGGCCTGCCAGTAAACCCAAAGCAGAAGAAGAAGAAGTGACGTCAGCGGCTCATTTGCCTAATCCACCCCAGGAACTCATTTTGGTGTGAACGCGATCTGCTTTAGTTCATCAGAACTAAAGGAGCTCTCATGAACTAAAGTTCTCATGAACTACTGTGGGAAAAGTACTTGGTGTGAACGCCCCTATTGTGCAATGTAATGATTGTGCTTGCATTTTGTTTTGTGTTTGTTATTTTCAGAACATGATCAATGGATGAGGATGGTGGAGAGGGGATCCACGTGGTGTGTTCAAGGACAGGCAGCATCTCCTCATCAAAAACTAACCTAAAAACTTGACCAATATAGTTGTGGACTGAGACAACCCTTATTTTGTTATTTTGAGTTTATTACATATACTACTTTATATGTGTAGCAATGTATTTAGTGTTTGCAGGTTTTATGTGTTTATGCAGACACATGTTTACTGTAATAAAACCATCTCTCATTAGTTGGATGTATACCCCCTGCAAGGCTGTGTGCAGCCATTTGTTTTTGTAAAATGCTACATCTGTCACACATGTTCTTAGCAGCTCACAATTGTTGGTTTTACAGTTATTTGTTATTTCAAGTTTTGAACAAAGTTAATGTCATAACTTGTGTTTTATGTTATTTTTCTTTATTCACTTGGATAGTTTGATCGTTGATTGATGGAGTAATGTGGGTTTCATAACCTGACAAATTAAAAGGATTTATGTTATAATAACAGAGCAACAAGCAAACATATTTTTTACATCTATGCAAATATATATGTAATATTTGTAACTTGAATAAGTAATAAATTCAGAGTTATTTAACATTAAGGAGTAGTTACATTTATTTTACATTGCATTTAGTTACATTTATAAGTTACATCTGGCCCTTTGAGGGCAATGATTATGCTGGTGTGGCCCTCGGTGAAAATGAGTTTGACACCCCTGTCTTAGATTAATACAATATAATTGGATAATGAGAACTTACATCACCCTTGTGATGTTTAACAAGTTTAACCCTGACATTCCTGATCTATGTTATAAATGCAAGATCCATCAAGTTACCCTGTATCATTGCTTGAGGGATTGTGTCGAGGTTCAAAGATTGTGGACTTCGGTGACAAGATATATTTCCCAAATAACCTCGTTGCGAACCCCTTTAAGGCCTAAACTTTGTATTTTAAGCATTTATCCAGAAGACTGTTTACTATTGGTTAGGGAAAGAAAAATGGTTAACCTATGCCTTCTACAAGCCAGGCTCTCAATTGCTTTGTGTTGGGAAAATGTTGGTTGCCCCTCCCTGGGCCACAGGTTAAACAATTTAACTTTGAGTCTGGCTCTTGAGAAACTCACATATATACTAAGGAAGAAAGCTTCTGAATTTTACACCATTTGGGAATTGTTTTTGGAATTTATAAAAAGTGGGGACATTGCAGAAGTGATGGAAGGTTAAAGTGAAAAGACTAAACTACTGTGAGGACATTTTGAATGTGGTTAATCTATTTGGAGAATTGTAAGCTGTACTCTGCTCTGTTTGTGGATCTGCTTTTATTGAATTTGCAAATGTAATTATATTCTTGGTCTGTACTTTAACCTGATGATTCTAGTATCTGCACACTTTTTTATTTGTTTAGCATTATTTTGTAATCTGCCATATGTATAATGTTGGGGAATGTTCGGTTGTGTTTTTGTAATGTGATACATGTAAAAAATCAATACAATTTAAATACAGCAACATTATAATCACAGTCAATACAGTAACATTCTATTCAGAGTAAATATGGCAACGTTCTAACCACAGTAAGTAGTAATGTTCTAATCTATATCTAACCATATTATGCATTAATATTGTATTTTCTAAACAGGTTGTAATCTTTCATTTGGGGATAACAGTGTTAGGAATATATTGTGATGAAGTGCACACTGACCTGAGCTCCAGGGGTCTTTTTGTTCTCCTCCATGCTGCTCTCAGTGCTCCTTCTCCGGCTGTGTCTCTGAAATAATCACAAAACAAGATAACTCAATACAACCGACAGACACCAAAATATAGGTTAATAGCAGAGGCGAGAAGTAACTAAGTACATGTACTCAATTACTGTACTCAAGTACTATTTAGAGGTACTTGTACTTTACTATTGAAAAGGAATCTAACTTCGATACAACCAACGTTAATATCTAGGTCGTCTCCGATTCCGAGCTCCGATGCTGATAAGGCTCCGGAAAACGGCCGTCCTACCACCGTAATCTGCTTAGGGGGGCAGCTGACAGCGTGGCCTCTAACACCAGCTGCCCGTCGCATCACTTATTTCAGGCACTAAAGCGTTGGATGTCCGACCGCCAGGATAGCAAAACAGAGTGTGTAGTGCAGTAGGTGTTGGTGGGCTGGTAGAACCCCAGTGCAGTATCTAAACTGCCCCTGGAGGAAAAACCCTGTGTGGTTGGGAGACTCCCTGGTAATTAGGGCAGCTTCAGGACCCACAATCCCTAACCCCCTCTTTTAACCAGTTATGTCAATTAAAACAATGCAAATGTAATATCAAACACTGATATCACAGCAGTGATATTACCACATCAGCAGAGCACATGTCATATTTCAGCACCAATCAAAACCACATCAACCACAGTAACCAATATGAAACTACAGTTTAACCTTAGCAGGGTTTCTATTTCCCTTAAACAATTTCAAGTCCAAATTAACAACTACTGTCAGCCTTTTCCAAGGAAGGGTGTTCTTACCTTACTCTAAGACCAAGCAGATACCTTCAGAGACCACCAGAGACCAGGAATTGGGTCGACCGGTTTTATTAGGTTTTTAACAAATATAGAGGATTTACAAGATCCAAAAAATAACAAAAGTTTTACAAGGTCAAAGTACAAAAGCAACAGGTTCCCAAGTGAACCCCCCAGAGCCCTAAAAGAGCCCAAGACCCAAAATCAAGCCTCAAAAAAGTCCCCCCAAGCTCCCCTTTTTCTCTTCACTCATCTTTTATAGTCTCTTCCCTCCTCCCTCTCTGCATCAGAGGCCTGTACTACGAAGCCGGTTCAACATAACCTGGATATGTTTGAGTTAGCCGGTTGGCCCAATCCAAAACATACGCGCTCTCGCTAAACGGTCCTACGACGCGGGTTATCAAGTGGATCGCTCAAGCCAGCCGTGTCCTATCTACAGGGTTCGTACACCTTTTCCAAAGTCAAATTCAAGCACTTTTCAAGCATTTTCAAGGTGCATTTTCAAGCTTTTCAAGCATCTTACAGCTGTTGTAAATTACATATTTATATACACATACTTATACTCAAATGATTATTTCCCTACCTCACATTAAATCAGATGTTCTTTATGCTATAAACAACCAAATGTGTGTTTCATAATAGCATTCTACATGAGGATGAAAAATTAAAAATGTTTGAAAAGAAAACTAAGTTTAATATTTCAAAATGTGTGACCCATCTGTACGTAGACTGGGCATCCCATATAACCTGGCTGAGCCAATATAAAACAATCAGCCAAATAACTTTTCAATATATTATTGATTACTATTTTTGAGGTACTTTTAGGTTGGCAGTAAACACAAGTCAGAGGTAAATGGTGTACTTTGACTCCACTACATGTATTTAATACCTTTAGTTACTTTACAGATGTGGATGAATGATGTGAAATATAATCAAGTGTTAAATCAGACTTTAGTTCCACCTGGAGTAAATTCACAAGCTACTCTGTAGTATACAAAGTCATTCAAACTAGCTGCAACTTTACCAGCTTTGATAACACTTTCATGATCAATCATTATAAAACATATCATATACAATTATTAGGGATGCTCCGATCGCCAATTTTGGAGCCGATCGCCGGAATCAGTATCGGCCGATACCGATATCGCTCTCTTTTCCTCTCTCCCCCTCTCTCTCTCTCCTGACAGCCCGTCAGTATCTCCTGCAGCTCACTGATCCAGTAATGAGCGACCCGACAGTGAAGAATAAATATATGTATAACTAGTTTAGCTTGTTCCAGAGGTAGATAAAATAGCTAAGTGTGTTAGGTCTAACTCTTAATGTGTGTTCTGCTCCGCTCACCGGTCCGTCACAGCGGGTGGAGCTGCAGGATTTCTGCTTCACACACACGTTGCATACCGCTATTTTATTGTCATTTTCGGACACTTAAAATACTGCCAGACTAGTGAAGCCATTTTGGCGAGCTTGTTTTGCCGCGCACAGAGAAAAGTGTCATGTATTTTACATGCAACGATAGCCTAATCTAAAATGCTCTACTCTGGCGTACCTTTCGTGTGGTGTGTCGCTCGTCAGCGCAGACTCTTGCATCGTTATTGTTGCACACTTTGCATGAGGCTACTCTTGGGCTTCGCTTGACCCTCGTCTTAGCCATGGCTTGTATTTGTCTTCTGCTAGCCAACGCTCGTTGAAACGGCAACCTCCTGGCATACTGTCATCTATCACTCATCAGAATGCCCAGGTCACACACGTAACAAAAACACTTGCCGGTCACGCGCATTGCGCGGGAAGGCCGGAGCGGAGCTGTTTTATGTAAAAGCGAAGCAATTAAGCGCGCTCCGACTTCTTTATTTTCTTTTAATCTAAAAAGCGAAGTAAAGCATTTACAATTTCAAGCACTTTATCCCAAATTCAAGCACCATTCCCAAAGTTCAAGCACTTTTCAAACCTTGAAAACACCTCGTACAATTTCAAGCATTTTCAAGGATTTCCAGCACCCGTACGCACCCTGTATCTAGTTAGGTGCGCGTTCACATGAAAGGGGGGGTATTTGGAGCATTCGACCAATCTCAAACATGGACAAGCGTACTGACAGCGCAGCGTCATACTTCCTGAATGAAAAGTCAACTATAATATTAGACAAATATGAAGACGTTAAACTTTAAACATCCATGACTTAAACACTTTATCCAGGATAGCCACATAGCTGCACCTGCAAGGTGAATACAGCTGGTAAAAGAAAAAGCGTTTGAATGCGTACATTAACAGGTTTATGATATCACTGCCCCGTCTAAGACACGAGTGGACCTGACTTTAATTACATTTGACTCTAGTGTTTCGTCAACTTAATGTGTTACTTAAAATAATACTTCTGCATACAGTATGTGACACTGTGAGTGTTGCACGGCCAGATACGGCTCAAGAAGCTGACTCAGATAAGGAAATATATGATACATTATGATATGATATGAATGATAATGGGACACATCGACGTCTGCACTCACAGTGCCCGCTAAAAAGAGAACCAGCGTCGTAGGACCGGAAACCCAGAGTTTTCCCTGAAGTTAGCTAGCTAAGCGGAAATCCGGCTTCGTCGTACAGGCCTCAGGTGGTTTCCCCTTTTCTATCTTTGAGTGAGAAGGAGGTCACATAGGTTCAATTCTTACTTAATCTTAGTTAAAATTAAACAAATGAAGACTATAGTAATGATATGCAATTTTAAGAAAAGCGAATATGAAAATTTTTATAAAAGCAAAACACATTTCAATGTCATGTTTAGAATTAAGAATTCAATTTAAAATGTGCACATTTAATTTATTAACAGAAACAAACTTAACAAAACTGTCTCCATTGTCTCTAAGATGTTTTGCTCCTGGATGTTGGACCTAAAATCATCAAGTCTGTACACAGTTCGCTCTCATCCTGTGTGCATTGTTCTCCTCAATCGTAGAAACCGTTGTCAAGGTGTCAAAAACCACAACGCCTTCCTAGAATTGTGGTTGGAACTTTTATGCTTTGCCTGCCCCTTCTAAAATGCATAATGTGCATAGGTCAAGAGTTCAGGATGTTCTGTCTAGTTTCACATGTCTGTTAAGACATTAATGAGACATACATCCTTTCCATCAAACCAAATTATAGCCAATTTAGCATTTTTTGTTAGGAGAGGTCTGTCACGGCCACTTGAACAGCAGATCTGTCAACACTATTTCCATTGAATGATACGTTGTACTTTTACTCCACTACAATTCAGAGGTAAATGGTGTACTTTCACTTCACTACATGTACCTTTAGTTACTTTACAGATGTGGATGAATGATGTGAAATATCAGACTTTAGTTACACCTGGAGTAAATTCACAAGCTACCCTGCAGTATACAAACTCGTCATGACACACACCAACTTACAGACACACAAACACACACACACATGCTCTGAAGGATGTTACCTCTCTCTCCTCTTCGTCCTGGTTCTTCAGTCTCTCTTCTCCTTGATAAAACACTGCCGTTAAACACACTAATCTCCGTTGAATGCCTTTACTTGTGTTTACCGATCAGCAACGTGGTATAAAAAGCTACGAACAAAGAACGGGAGGCAACAAAAACACGGTTTAACGGATAAAAGCACGGATAAATCACCCTCCAAGGATAAACTAAGTCTTTGTATGTGTTTTAAAAGTCTCTTAAACACATTACATTCAGTATAAAATCTGCGTAAACGTCTGTTAGTAACGTGTAGCTTCTGAGGACCGGAAGCTAGAAACGGACCACCGCAATGCATCTTCTTCTTCTTCTCTTTTTAATGGCGGATCGCAAACAGCTTTTGGTTGCATACCGCCACCTACTGTATCGAACACATAAAACTAAGAAACCATAAAATAAATTAAAAAAAATCATCCATGGTCTATTCTAAACTACTGTTAGATTATTTCCCCTATCCCAGTTTCCCTCAAAAAGGTGAACAGTGCCTTTCTGGTAGCTCTTTCTCCTTCTCCGTCTGTTCCCAGAATACCAGCTACATTCCACTCCCTCTCTGCCTCTAAAACTTGATCCCTTAATTTTTCTCTTTCAACTCTATAGGTGACACAATGTAATAAAATATGTTCCACATTTTCCCTAACTCCACAGTTAATGCATCTTGGGATTTTAGTTTTTCTTTTAAACATAAATTCACTGCCTGCCTGTGGTGAAAAACGGTATTAAAATGAATAATAATTACAACAATAATAACAATCATAATAATATAAATATGGGACTGGTATGGCGGATTT